TGAATTGCACTTAGGGAAGGTCTGTTGTTAATCAAGAAGATGGAAGATTGAAACACCATCTTAGCGATCGAATTCTATGTAACAAAATACAGATGCGGTGTTGTGGTTATGTGGTTTCGCATAACTGAAACCGGCATGAGACAATTGTTTCTCTATGTACACCTCAACCTCACCTAGGCAGGTGTTAGCCTGAGACAAACTTGACTTTGATTCTGTCTAATGCTATGGATTTTGAAAAAAAGAGCAAATTCAATTATCTCACCCCCGGGGTTCTATCTTTATCGGACGAGATGAGGGTCTATGTTCCACCGTCCAACCCCTCGAGTCCCACCGAGACACCTTAGCATGAAGGTATGTGGCCGCCGTCTAAACAGGAAAGGGGTCAGGTGACCTATCAAGGGGTAAAGGGGTGAAGGGCATGTGCTCGCCTACTGCTTTGGGATGGAATTCCAAATTGCCCATTGGAATGTACCCCTGGAGGGTCTCCAATTTCTATTACTAAATAGCAATTGAACGCTGCTTTTGTCTGTTGAGGCTGGCTCTTCCTATAAATCAATATTATACAGTAGGACTACCTATATAAATATGTGTAACGTGAATATATACAAGCTCAATTTGAGCCACCACCAAATGTCTCCCCACCATTGTTCAGGTATTCAATTTCCTCCGGGGTAGACACTCTCCCCAGTGCCTCGTTCCGATGGGGGTATCGTCCAAACCTCTCAATGATCACTTTGTGCCTCTTTTCAAAGTCAGAATTACTGCTCAAGAATGTCTGCACCGCCTCCGCCTGCTTGGATAGAACACCGTGGCATTTTCTTTCCTCTTCCGTAAGAGTTGATGCGTCCCTAGACAGAAGCTCATTCAAGTCTCTGGCTATATCCTCGTGCACCTTGACGGCTTGTTCATGTACAGCCAAGTTTTCCGAATGCATAAGAGGCATATGGAACCAAGTACGATATGCCATTCGATACCTGAAATACGGCGACTGTGTAGGTATCCCTTCTTTAATTGCCCGAAGGGCAATCTCCTCGGCTAATGGGTCAAAGCGCCCAAACACCAGCTTTGACTCAGCTCCCCGGTAGGAATTGCGGGGAATCTGGTCAAGTAGAATAATGAGGCTGAGCCAATCCATCGGGGAGGATGGGTTGACTGCAGATAGAATGTCCGAGGCTGATGCTCCAGAGCCAATAATTATTTCCAGAGCAGGGCGAAATTGGGTGCTATTTTAACTCGTTAGTCTTATAATTTAGGGTCGAAATAAGGAAACAAATGGTCACTTACACGCAGGCCTTGTCAAATGCCTCGTCATGAGAAAACCACTTCCCCATATCGCTCCATCCGGGTAGGACGAGTGCCTCGTCGCAGCTCAGATGATCAAACCACAACTTATGTACGTCATCAAGGAGGGTTGGTGTCAAAGTCCGCTTGAGTTCTGAGGAGCTTGCCATTGTGATAGGAGTTGAGTGAAATTCACGAGCAAAGGTACTTCTACCAAAATTCTTCTGCAATTGAGGCCTTCCAATTGAATTTGTACGGAGATTTGGGGTGAATATCAGGGCATTAGCCAGGATCACCACTGGGTTGACAGTTGCAAGTCTTTGAAAAAGTCCCGTTGAGATTGCCTATCTTGATGTTAGACTTATGGAAATACTCATTTGGTGCCAATTATTTACCTTGCTGCGCACTAGAAGTCTCATGATTGAGTGTTGTGTAGGTGTAAATATCCAATCAGGGTTCTCATTTTGATATAATCTAGGAAGTAGTCCAATTACCAAGCACAGAGCCCCCGGGCCCATTCACAACCCCGAAACCGCTGAGTCATCAATACTTTCCGGCTGTCGAAGCAACCCTGGACTACTCCGTACTTTGTTTTCTTTTTTATTTTACTACGTCAATGTATATAGTATATACTCTCTAGATACTTGATATAGTCCTCCATATACCTAGATATTATATATATTATACAGTCAAGCCAGATATCATTTCCCCCATTTCACCCATTTCACCTATTTCACCCAAAGAGGTAAAAGAATCCCGTTTATCTTGATAAGGCCCATTTTGACTCCCCGCACGGTTTTTTCCCCTCGGCCTATACTCCGCATCTTAGATCCTGTCGGATCTTCTCAGATTCATCTTCTCTATGCTTTATAATGCGCCGCGTTAAGAAATCCAGAAATGGCTGTGCAAGATGCAAGAGTAAACGAGTCGGTGTTTCCCGTTTCCCCGGGAAAACCGGATATCACTAACATGCACAGGTCAAATGCGGCGAAGAGAAACCTCACTGCACTCGCTGTACCCGCTTAGGCGTCCGTTGCCCTGGTTATGCACAATCTCTGCGCTGGGTTACCAATTATGAGCAGTCTAGTCCTGCAGTAGCGGCATCAATCTCGGAGGCGAGAACCCCGAGTCCCGCTGCCTCGACTGCAAACCAAATCGACGATGCTTTGCCGGATGACTCAACTTTTGAACCAACACATGAACCAGGTCCTTCGAATTTTGTCCTAGACGAACGAACTCCTCTATGTGACAATCTATGGGAACATTCAGGCCATGGGTCTTTGCCCGAACTGACGGATCTATGCTCGCCGTCCCCGATGGCGGCGGCAACGTCGTCTTTCACACTCCAAAGAGATGCTTTCCCTGACTTTGAACAGTCAGAAGATATCGGTGTGGATCTGTCACACTTTCTGTCACTTATCGGACCAACACCAAGCGAGGAACAGACCGACAAGGTTTACCGAGACTTCTCACCTTCGGCTATTGTGCGCAGTTATCCTCCGGCATCACATCGCTCTGCGCCACATAACTTCATGTCAATGTCTCGTCCACTTAATAATCCATCATGGACCTTGATCGAGTACTATTTCAAAGAAGTGGCAGCATTGTTCTCTAGCTATGACAGCCAGATGAACCCATTCCGAACCACAGTATCCCGTCTTTGGGGTTCTTCACTAGCAATGTGTCGAACAATGCAAAGCATGGCTGCCGCAACATTGGTCACCGAATTTCCCCAGTTCGGCCCCATGGGCCGAAGGATGCGTGATGAAGCTGTTGAAATAATCACGCGCGAGGCAGTAATAGACGACAAGTCTTTGCTAGCGCTGCTAATGCTCGGACAGACGGCTAGTTGGCATGACCCAAGTGACTTAGGCATATCATTTTTCAATCTGCTCCGCAAGCAGCTCAATACCCTCACCTCATCATCACATAACCCTAGCTCCAGCTTCCCTAAGAACGACAGCAATAACTACCGGTTCTTCGAAGAAGCTCTCATCTACTGGGAAATGTTGCTTTCTTTCGTCGCAGATAATGACACCATGATTCTATCTGAAAATTCGCGAAACACTTCACCTATGGGCGAGTCTTTCGTTCTACAACGAGTCCCACACCCATGGACCGGCATCGCGCGCGACACCCAGTTCACCGTACACGAGGTCGGGCAACTCATCCGCCGTGAGCGAAAGCGCATCCACTCAAGGCGATTCACCTCCCAAGATGACATCACCCGTGCACAATTAGCAATTGAGAAAGCTCGCGAACTAGAAGAACGCCTCTTAGGTCTTGCCCATCCCTCCGAGGCCGAGATTGTCAGTCCCGGTGACGACGATACCCCAGTATGGCACCTCCTCACAATGGCCGAGGCGTACCGATGCGTCGGCCTCATGCAGCTATACCGCGTCTTCCCAGACCTACTACACAACCGTCTTCCCACACCAACATCCACATCATCCCGATACCCCGGCAACGCCGATCCAGAACCCCGCGACCCATTCTTCCCAATCGACCTCGACAGCATGAACTTATCAGCTGGATTCGGCGGCCCCAGTCCAGCAACAGGACAAACCACCAATTCTCGACACACCGCCCCTTCAACATCCACAAGATCTTCCCCTCACAGTCTCTATCGCAATTCCGCTCACAATCTACCATCCCCGCCATCACCAGACACCCAACAAACCCCCACCCCAGAAACCCTATACAGTAACTGGCTGACCGAGTTCGCCGTGACAACCCTCTCCCGGCTAAAAACCATACCCCTGGAATCACGCACCCGCTGTTTGCAGCCATTCCTCCTAGTAGCATCCTGCTCAGAGCTCCGTCTCCCGCGTCTGGCCACAAATGCAGGCGCTCAACCTCGGAATGGAGGAGATTATTCAGAAGGCGTCGATGAGGATAGTAACAGCCCGAATCAAACACCTACCATCTCAATGGAGGCTATTGAAGTCTCGCGCACGCGCAAATTCATCCTCGGCCGTCTTACGTCTTTTTTGCATGTCCTGCCTCCCAAACCAATTCATGTATGTTTGAAATTGGTTAATGAGGTCTGGAGAAGATTGGATTCTGGGGATGACGATGCTTATTGGGTTGATGTTATGATTGAGAAAAGTTGGGAGACGACCATGGGGTGATACAGTGCCAAGTTGAGTTTTTTGGGGTTCCCAGTTCAATACCATGGTATTCCTTTTCGCATTTGCAATCAGAGTACATGGCTTTTGCTGAATTATATGTTATAATTATAAATTTATCATGTTTCGAATCAGCAGTGGTCGTCATCTAGATTAAATCGGTGGCTGATCAGAGATTGGAGGTACAGGGGGAGACTGAGACTGAATATCTTTGTATGAATTGACATTAGATCGTAGGTAGCGTTTGCTTAAAGAAGATATCAACGCGTCACTAGATGTCCAGCCGGATCCACAAGACATGTTCGTGTTATTTTTCAGGACATTGACATACTAAAAACGTACAGAAGAGCAAAAAGACAACAAGCAAGCCCTTAATCAAAGAAATAAAATAGAAAAGATCATAAAATTCATGAAAGTCCATAGAAGCACAAAACTAAAACAAGAAAAAAAAAAACACTCCAAACCCCATTAACATTCACCCTTCTGTTTTGTGTTTTTCATATTTTCCCAATTTCCATCTCCGGCCCCTACCCGATATCAAGTATACAAATCCCCCAAAACACACAAACGATACAAAAGGCAGAAACAAAACTACTTGCTATCACTGCCTCTGGTGTATCCCTCCCACCACTTCGAGAACATGCCTCCCTTGGCAGCCTGCTCATTCCAGCTCGCACGACGGGTAGCCATATCCGGGTTTGTAGATTCACGCTTCTGTGTATTCAGGTTCGAGAAGAGACCGCCGGAAGAGCCGGCTGAGCTTCGACGGCGTTCAGCTAGGGTTGGGGGGTTTGGTGCGGTGCCTTCGGTGGGTTTGGTTCCGTCTGAGGAGGTGGAGGTATTGGAGTCCTTCATTTTGGTGTTAGATTGGGTTTGGAGATGTTGTATGGGTAGATAAATGATAGGGGGATAGATCGATAGATGGATAGAGAGGTATAGGAGTAGTAATAGTGGTGATGTAGTGCCATGGGAATGATATATAAGAAACAGAAATCCAAAGAGGCAAATGACCTACCCTTCTAGTGTCTGTGGTAGGCATTGCCCACGCAGCACGACCACTAGGGCTCTTGGCACCGCCGTTCATCCAGACATTGATGTGCTGGTGACGGTCGCCGGGGATTCCGTGCCAGTGGCGGCGGGTATTGTCGTCAGACATGTTGGAGATTTCTAAGCAGTTGGAGTAGTCCGTGATTGGTGTGGTCTAGCTCTTTGAGGATTTAGTAGGTGTGAGATAAAAGCATAGGATGCTAGAGAAACTGAGGAGATAAGAGGTATGAGATATCGTTTTAAGGGTTGGGAGTCGACGACGTCATTCTTGTTCGGGGTTGCCTCTTGGGGATAGATGAAATATGGAATAGCTGGAAATAGATTAGAAATAGAATGGAACTTACCGCAAGATTCTCCAAGTTTAGCTTGGTTTAATGGGAATGAACACTTGTAATACAGAGAAAGGCAAAGAGGGGGAAAGCTGCCTTATAAGAACTGAAGGTTACTAGGGTTGCAACGCGGTAGTGAATCACCGTAGGGATCTAGAGTGGTCTAGCTCCTTATTCACACTCTCTCAAGTACTATATTGGTACTTATTATACTTGTCGAGCACATGTATTATGACGATTTCCTATTATTCCCTATACGTGTACTGACTACCTAGGCATGTACTAACTATGTACTATGATGTACCCCAGAGAGCCTTGACGTAATTATAATGCGGGGAAAGCTTGGCATATATTAGAATATCAAAGAGCTACATATAGTAGTTAGGTATCTATAGATATACTTCATATTTATCTTGCAGTACATACCCCCAGGGCCAAGTAGATATCACCCCGACCTCCTATCTGCATCCCTCAACACCTTCCAAACCCTAATACCCTCCTCCCAATCCCCATCCTCCACAATGTCAACACTCCCATCCCCCCTCAACGTCCTAACCCCCCTAGCCCCAGAAACCCCCCATCCAAAGTCCCCCTCCCCAGCAACAAACCTCCCTAACGAATTAACAAACCCCCTCTTAACAACCCCCTTCTCCCCCTCTCCCAACAACCCCCATTCCCAAAGAACCAAATCGGATAATCCGACGAATGCGTAACCCCCCACTCAATCGGCAAAACCGCCTCCACACACTTCGCCCGCCACTCAATCCGATACCGAAACAACAACGCTGAAGCATCAACCCCATCCTCGTTCTCCGTCAGCGCATACACAAGACCACGCTGCATCCAATGAACCTGCATATCAGCATAGATCCTCCCCCACGCATCCTGGTCCCAATTCTTGCAGTGCGGAGGTAAACAGCCGCCCGGGTAATATAGCGGTATAACAGCGTCAACGATGTGTTCCGGGTAATCTGCGATGAGACGGGTGCGTAGTGCCGAGAGGGTATTATCCGTCGGTGGGAACCATGTACTGTAGAGGAAACGCTCGTCGCAACATTCGCCTATTATAATGCGGATATTGCGGGCCAGCAGGCTTCGAGCGAAGGCGCCGGTATCCAGATTTTCGAAGAGTGATGAGGAGATGAAGGATGTATCTGTTGTTGGGCGGAATTGGTGGAGGGAGATTGTTTTTGCTTTGTCGAGGAGGACTTTTGCGGGCAATGCGCGTAGACGGGTGAGTTTCTCGCTATTTGGCAGGGTGATCGGGATCTCCAGGGCTGTTAGGAGTTGATTGAATTGGGTTTGGGTTTCGGCTGGCCGCTTGGGCTGCACTGCTGGACTGTTTGACCAGATGCAGGCTTGGCGGACGAGAGAGTGCTCGTCTGGTTGTCGGAGGTCATAGGCTAGTTGGTGGAAGACGGAGTTGGCGCCTGCGGAATATCCTGAGATCGTGATGGTCTTCGGATTCCCGCCGAATAGCTGGATGTTCTTCTGGGTCCATTCTAGTGCGAGTCTCTGGTCCCAGAATCCGTGGTTGCCAACTGTCTCGTCGACAGTGGCTGCGTCTTCCTCCAGTTCGGATGAATACAGGAATCCGAATAGGTTGACACGGTATGCGGGCATCACAATCACGCAGCTGAGATCGGCTTCGCCGATCAATGCAGCTGGGTTGAATGAATTGGGCGTGCCGAATTGAAGCCATCCGCCATCTGGGCCGAACAATTTCTGTCAGTACGGTTTCTGTGGAACATCATCACCTTGTTCTATGTCCTAAAGCGATATATCTTGGACCCATTCAGACAATACTCACGAATAAAAACAAAAACAGGCCATCCCCCCTCAGGCGCTTCCCCAATAGGCGTCCAAACATTACACTGAAAGCAATCCTCGTTCCACGCACCCGGGTTCTCGGGCGAGATATTCAGAAACCCCGGTTGGGGACAAAGTCCCGCACCCCCATCACAACAACCCGGTGCTTCTTCGCTGCCGTAGGTGAAGGATGCGGGGAGGGGCTGAGCGCGGCGCCAGCGCTCGGCGGGGGCAAGGCCGTATCGGACGCCGCCAAAGTAGTGGCAGAGGTCTTTGGATTGACTGGTAGGAGAAGACAATGTTGAAATTGTTACGCCTTTGATTGTGCCGCGGTGAGCGAGGGATTTAACGTGAGGGCGGCGGATTGTTTCCATCTTTGTTGGCTTTTGTTCTGTTGATGGTTGATTCGGGGGTAGTTGAGTATATACTTGGATCCTAGGTGATACAGTAGACGTAATCACACACGTCTCTATTCTGAGGTGGTACTCAAGTATATTGTAGTCAAGTAGAGCAGTCTGAGCCGGGAGCCACGCCCTTTAAGACGGTATCCATGGGCGCTACATGCCGCAGTTCTCTGACACCTAGTAGCCGAGATAAAGAAGCGATTGTCTTTCATTGGTGAGAGACAAGAACATCGGCAATTTGCGATTGGCGATTGGCCATTGATAGTTGGAGAAGGAGGATGTTGCGGGGAGAACGGCAGAAGTCCGGCTCGGAGCTAAATTTGGGAATCACTGGCTTCGGAACCATAACCCTAGGTAGATCGGAGCTAGATTTGGAGATTACTCACTTGCGCTGGCTTAGGAACTATATAGATCTATGAGGGGTACTAATAACTGTGAAAAGGTTTGAACAGAAGAAATACCGTTTAATTCCGAATAAGCCAGAACAGCAAATTGCCTAAATCTAGAGAGGAACTCGAAAACAAGAACTAAGAACGCTGAGAGAAATCATTCAAGTCACATCACACATCACAAATCGTGCATGGTTCAGTAGTACAGAGTCACTATGCTTTTACGCCTTGCTGATCCTGCAGATCAGGTCCTGGCCATCGACGGAGTCACCCTCCTTGACCTGGAGGCCGGACACCTTTCCGCTGTGCGGGGCGGAGATCACCATTTCCTGGATGAGAGTTAGCAACACATTCACGTCTGTAATAGAAAGGAAATAAATAACATACCATCTTCATGGCGCTCAGCACCGCAATAGGATCACCCTTCTTAACCTCGTGGCCATCGTGGATGCGAATCTCAACCACGACACCGCTCATGGGAGCGCCGACCTGGCTGCTATCTGTGGGGTCGGCCTTGGCGCGGGCCAAATTCTCGATCGAGGCCTTGTTGTCATCGACACTGACCTGACGGACTTCACCGTTGACCTCGTAGAAGACCTCACGCTGACCAGTCTGCTCGGAGAGGGGACCGATGGCGAGCAACTTCAGGATCAGGACCTTACCCTTCTCCAGCTCGACGTGGAACTCCTCGCCGATCTCGGGACGGGCAAGGAAGTAACGGGTGGGCAGAACGGAAAGATCACCGAACTTGGCAACGAACTTGCGGTAGTCCTCAAACACCTTGGGGTACATGGCGTAACTGGCAACGTCGCACTCAGTGGCGGCGCCGAACTTCTCGCGGATATCGTTCTTGATCTTGATGAGATCCATGGGCTCCAGGTACAGACCGGGGCGCTTGTCGAGCTTGCGACGGCCGCGCAGGGCCTTGGTACGCAAAGGCTCGGGGAAGCCGCCGTAGGGCTGGCCCATCAGACCTTCGAAGAACTCCAAGACTGATCCGGGGAAGTCGAGCTGGTCGGCACGGTCGAGCACATCCTGGGCGGACAGCTTGTTGCTGACAATCCAGGAGGCGAAGTCACCACAGACCTTGGAGGAGGGGGTGACCTTGACGATGTCGCCCAGCAACTCGTTAGCCACCTCATATGCCTTCTTGGTCTCAGCCCACTGCTGTCCAAGACCCAACTGACTGGCCTGGAAGATCAAGTTGGTCAGTTGGCCACCAGGGATCTCGTGCTCGTAGACCTCGGGATCGGGGCCGGTCAGGCCAGCCTCGAAGGGAGAGTAGAGCAGGCGAAGCTGAGCCCAGTAGCTGTCGAGGGCGCGGACATGGTTCAGGTCCAGCTTGGGGTCGTGCTCGGTACCCTGCAGCGAAGCAAGGAGAGCACCAATGCTGGGCTGCGAAGTCATACCAGACAGACTGTCGGTAGCGGCATCCACGGCATCAGCACCGGCCTCGGCACAGGCAATCATGGAGGCGACACCGGTTCCGGCGGAGTCGTGGGTGTGAACGTGGATGGGGAGATCGGGGTAGCGCTCGCGGATGGCACCGACGAGCAGACGGGCAGCCTGGGGCTTGAGCACACCAGCCATATCCTTGATTCCAAGAACGTGGGGACCCATCTTGACGATCTTGTCCACCAAACCCAGGTAGTACTCCAAGCTGTACTTCTTCTTGGGGTTCAGCATGTCACCACTGTAGCACATGGTGGCCTCAACAACACCACCGGCCTCGTGGACGGCCTTGATACCGACCTCGAGCTGGTCAAGATCGTTCAGGGCATCGAAGACACGGAAGATATCGACACCGTACTTCTTGGCCTGCTTACAGAAGTGGTAGATGGCGTTATCGGGAAGGGAAGAGTAGGCAACACCGTTGGCACCGCGCAGCAGCATCTGGAAGGGAATGTTGGGGACGGCCTTGCGCATCTTGCGAAGTCTGTCCCAAGGATCCTCGTAGAGGAATCGCATGGCCACATCGAAGGTGGCTCCACCCCAGCACTCGAGCGAGTAAGCGTTGCTCAATGCGTAGCTGGTCTCAGTAGCGATGTTCAGCATATCAATTGTTCGCACACGGGTGGCGAGCAACGACTGGTGGGCATCACGCCAGGTAGTGTCCATGATCAAGCAGCCCTTGTTAGCGCGCACAGCCTTAGCGAAGCCCGCGGGGCCTTCGCTGTC